TATACTATATTATATTATATTATATTATATAGCAATGGGTCCCAACATTCCCAAACCCTTGGAGCACCGGCTCAGGGGGGGGCACAGTTCTTGCACTCAGGATACTTCCGTTCCGGTCGGACATCTCTTCGGTTCAAGGGGCGCAGCCTCGAGCATAACCCAGCTACATGCAAATACTCTTCACTTCATTTGGGCAGGAGAAATATTTCAGATTCCACAGCGTGTCAAATGATGCGATGCATAAAGGTCTTCCGTCGGTGGCGATGTATCACTTGCACAACCAGGAAACATACAGTATCCGTTCTTCACTCTTCACTGCTAACTTCGGCCCAGTGCAAGACAGATTTCGGAGAGAAAGCCGTCGAACTTTGCGATAGGCGGATTCTCCCGCACCTTCCATGAAGCACGGGGCTTTTGCTGACCTCGTCGTTTGTGAGGATTCGCGATGTCGCAACATCGCTTCGTTTCGTCTATGTAGAGTACGGCGTGGGTCTAAGTTCCAAAAGCTTATGTGCTTTGATCCGAGGACCGTTTGAAGGCCGAGAACTTCCTTGGTGTTGAGATGCTGTGGGGCGTGAGCTCTCCAGCTCCTCAAAGAGTGAACTGACACTGAAACAGGCTTTGTTCGGATTGAACCGTACCGAATGCTGCAATCGAGCTCACGGCCAACCCCTCGCCCAACTGTTCTTGAGGATTTGCCTCGGTAGCTTGTCCAGATAACGATGATGAACTGTGGAAACCCTCGCAAAGCTAAGCTGTCTTGCATTGCCAATTACTGTCGTCAGCAACACAACAGCTGAATAAGCACTCCAGCCTCATACAGGTTCCAATTAAGTGGCAGTAACTTGCAATAGTACCTCGGAGTCCTCATGTAGCAACGTAGTAGCATACCCCTCCCGCCCGAAGCCGCTGAATAACTCTGAACCGACACTCGCATGCCGGGCCAGCGTGGCTCCCCGCGCTGTAAGGACTTCCAGCGGTGCCGGACCACCCCATTGACGCTGCTGCGACCCCTGACAAAGGCATAGTTTCAGACACACTCTTTCAGAAGCCGTAATAAGGCCATACTTCCGTTGTGGTCAAAATCGCGGCACTGCAACTTCTGAAAGAACCCAGGCCTTTAAAAGCCACAGCTTCACGCAACCTCATGTCCTTGACCTTGAACATTCATCCGCCCTACTGCTGCAAGACGGGAGTTAGAATTACACCGAGCTGACCCCTGAGGCGGCCCCAGAACAGCAAATGCGTTTTACAAAGGTCTGGGCGTCTTGCCTTTGAGTCTGCAGGCAGCAGCACGGTGCGGTATTCTGGATCCGCCGTGCAAGGCTCCACCCTGTCCCGACATTATTGCAAGCAATGATGATGCAGCTCTTCTGTATGGCTTCAATGATTCAAAGGTCTTGCACTTGCGGCTTCCATCAGCTGGCATGATGGAATGCGGTTGAATGCGGTTTGGTCCAGCAACAACAAACCTGTCCAGTCTATCATATTCGCGTTTGTTGACCGTGGTCCGCTGAACTCAACCGAAGCTTCTTGTTGATGGTAACCAGTTGGCCAACGACCGTCTTGGTGCGCAGCAAGGCTTGCTGAAAGCAGAACCAGGTACCCAGTCACGAAGTGGAACTCATACTCCTGGTTCTTCCTGGGATTTCGCGCACTCAAAGCTGGCGGTCTCAAGCAATGCATCCATGATGCGCCTCTCTGCAGTCATGATGCTGGAAATCGGTCCCAACGAAAGCAGTCACAGCGCGGCATCCGCTCAAGTGCTTGCCTTGCATTGTGCACATGCTTGTGTCGACCCCGACATGTCCGACTGTTCCGCATGGCTCCTGACAGGTATTCCGCCCTGTGAAGAAATCCGGGCAGATGTACAGGATGTCTCAGAAAACTGGGTAGTGGAGATGATGTTGGCTGCTGCCGCGAAGCACTCTTTGGCTGCTGCCTGGAGGGCCAACATCCTCAGGGTCCGGCTGTTTTACCCTTCGCTTGCATGTCACCCCAAGCATCTCGACAAGGCCTGCATTCAGGCCCAACCAGAATGTGATCAAACTGTGTTCGTATATGTCCTGTCCGTGGTGGCTGACAGCATGATAAGTATGGGCTCGCAACTGCTTAGCCTTCCGCCTTTCTGGCTAGTGTGCGAGATTCACTGCAGCAAATGTCTGGCAGCAAGCAAAAGCAAGATACAAGGTCCTTCCTCCTCTTTGGTTTTTGCGATCCAAATTTGAGATCCCTGACGCGCCTGGGTGGTACCACCTCCCTGCCATCTGGCACGGAGCAGCTCCTTGTCTTCGAGTAAGCCAATCATGGGCTCTGCTCCGAGTGTGGTACCAACAAGAATGGCATTCCCATAGCTCGTTAATGAGGGAGAACAGGCTGATTTTGAGCTCCTCCTTTGTCTTGCCATGGCCGAACTACAGTCGTGCCAAGCCACCTGACTTTTGCTTTCTTTGGCTTGTCAGCCGGGCAGTCCTGCAGCGGGCTTCCTAATCGTGGAGCGAAGTGACCGTTTGGGCTGAGGTTGTAGTAGTCTTGTCCAGGTTCTTTATCAGCACCCGGCTGCTTCCTCTTGATCATTACGTCCAGGTATTGAGGAGGCCTTTAGCTCGTGGCGGCTTGGAAAACACAGCTGTTTTGATCAACGCCTGCGGACGTGTACAGCATTTACTCGACTCGCCGCGGAGATGCCACCCCCTCGGCAACCTTAAACGACTGAAAAACACGGAGCTCGGCGCAGATCCCCAAACTAGTGTCTTGTCCTGGCCAGCAGCGCAGTAGCCTTCTTCGCCGGTGGCCAGCGGAACGGCAAAAGCCGCTAGCAGCTCCAGCACTAGCAAAGCCATGGCGGGGAACTGGGTCATTCTGAAGGGTTGGCTTAAGGGTTGAAGGGTATTTAAGACGGCAGACCTCGCAGACCTCTTATCCTTGTAGCTCTGTGGAGACCAAATGCCGGGAAGCAGTTTACGCCTTAACTTTGGGTCGAGACCGTACTCATGTTCCTAGCTAGAATACAGCTTGGGGTAACGGAAACTTTCAACATACTTACTAACTCGCGTCCATTCATTTTGGTGCAAGTTATATCTCGAGATGAGGCGGGACATGAGGATGGTCTTCATATCCAAGACTTCGCAGCGAGCGCTTGTCAGAATGGCACGCGATGTGACATGGCTCTGCTAGGGAGGCCATGCCTCAAACAGACTGACACTTGCAATATGTATGTGTTGGCGTGCATATGACCATGTGTGAATTTTGTGTGGTCGATCGAATGACAGATTGGCAGAAAAATAAATCGAACGATGGATAGATAGATAGATAGATAGACAGATAGGTAGATAGATAGATAGATAGATAGCTAGCTAGATAGCTAGATAGATAGACGATAGATAGATAGATAGATAGATAGATAGATAGATAGCCAGATAGATTGATAGATAGACGGACAGACAGACAGACAGACAGACAGACAGACAGACAGACAGACAGACAGACCTTTACATGTTGACAAATTGCTTGTATGTTCAGGCGTTTGTATGTCTGCCGATATTGTGTGTGTGTATATATATATATGTATAGATATATATGTATAGATATGTATGCATGTATGTATGTATGTATGTATGTGCATGTATATTAGTGTGGGTGTATGTTTGTATATAAATTAATGAACACTATATATATATATAAGAGAGAGAGAGAGAGAGAGAAAAAAAAAGTCCTGCCCTTAAGGAGTGATGTCTTATACAAGCTCCATCTTCATTGGCTACAAGACCTTTTCAAACGGAACCATACCTTCCGCATTGGCCATGGGAGTCAAGGATGCTCGCACTTTTGAGGCACATTGCATGTTCCTCCTGTATGGGTCGGCCTGATCCTTTCATCAGACTGAAGCCTGAGAGAACTGGAGGTTGTTCAATGTCGCACTTGTTACACTGCTCTATCAAAGCAGGTGCGCTCTCGTTTAGAACAACCCCCGACTGTGCAGGCTTGTGTGAAGCGAATGGTTTGCTGAGGCAAGATTTTCATGCAAAACATCGCCGTTCGCGTCTCTTAGCAATGTCAGAGCTCAACGCTCCCCAACCGGCCAGTCAGCCCGCCCCTGCTTCAAGGTTTCGTTTTAGGGCTTCCTTTCAACCTCGAGGGTGTTGCTCACGGACTTGCTGACCAACAAATCAATCAGAAAGATCTGCGAAGCGGGGATCGTGCATTCCAGTAAAGATGACCTCGTATTTGCTGCTTCCTTCGGCTTTATGCAAACATCCGCATTTCTTGAGTAGGACTTGCTTCGTGAGCCTGATATCAGGTCCCAGGCTTGTTCGAGAATTTCCATGCTCAAGCAGATCTGCGATCTTTGCCAACAGGGCAGGAACAAGATGCCCTGCCAAAACGATCCAGGCGCATAGGCATCACGGCTGAAGATCCGATTGCAGATTACCGCAGCATGTAGAATGTAGGCCAGAGGCCAGACCTGTTAAGTAGCTGCAACCGACAATACACACCGGTTAAAGCCACTACTTCGTATGGAATTCTTCACGAACATTCACATGCAGCCATTCCGCAAGCACGAGCAGCACTGAATGAAAGTGTTGGTGGAACGAAGGCGCGGAGCAGGAGGTCGGCATCCAAGCCTCTACAAGCACGACTCCACAAGAAAGTCAAGTGGAGATTTGAGCCCTTCGGCTGGACTGCAGACTGTAACCACAACGGAGGCTGTGGCCATGTGGGACCTCGCTACTCGGCGATTCGATATGATGCACTTGAAACATGACAACTCTTCAAACTCGAGGCTCGTGTGGCAAAGAAGAGACATACACATAATCAGGAGAATGAGGTACTAGTCACAAGCCTCTTGGAGAGTTGCCCTGGCTATGCAGCCGGCTTGACTCCGGCGAAGTCAAGCGGAGGGACGCTTAAAATGGGGTTGTGTTAATGGGGCCCTTGATGGGGCTTTTTGCAGTACACTCTCACTTGCGATCACCTTGAATGGAAACACCCAGGTCAGATTACGGCGAGAAGCGCGCGAACTTCACCTGCCACCGGTACGTGTACATCTTGCCCTTCTCTCAGCGGAAAGTGAGCTCCATCTTAAGTGCCACATCCGAAGCCCGAAGGCCCCTCCCTTCAAATGCTTGCTTTCTACAGCCCCCCTGCCTTCATGCACGGAAGGCACATGAAGCCACGTTAGGCCAGATTCGGATAAAAACCGAGCCAGAAGCATGAATTGCAAAGCCCCAAGCCCTAGGAGTACCCCGCCGACTGGTCGTGGCCAGACAGGGTTTGCAGGCAGTCCCCTGTGCAAGGATCCCAAAGCTGGGCTGTTCCTGAGCTGGGCACTTGAAAGGGCTCTCTGTGACTCTCTGTAATCACAACCAAAAAAGTAACCACACTCACCCACTCCTCCAAACAGTTTCCTGGATTGCAGGAGGTTGAAGCGAAATAGTGTGATGGAGCTCCTGTCAACAATCCCTCGAAGAGCCCAAGTATTTTGCAGCATGGCTGCCATCCTCGAAGGACGTGAGGACCAAGGTTGCGTCAGGGCCTGCCAGGATTTCTGCGGAGGATCGCTGCAAATGCGGTATTTAAATGCTCACACCCGACAGAGTGATCATGGCCAGCTGCACAACTTGTGATCTGGTCGACATCCTGGTAACTGTGGCATACTGTGGCTATGGTTACGGCCAGGGTGCTGAAAAGCGCCACGCGAACGAAGTGCCCCGGCCTTGGCTACATTCTCCTCTGCTAGAGCTCCAGGCTTTTCGGGGGGGGGGGGGGTGGTCTTCTCTGAACAAGCTTGTGGCAAAAGCCGCTAGCAGGGGTTCTCACATGCACGACCCTGTGTGCTGCATCAAATGCAACTCTGAAACAAACGCTCTGCTGGACTAGGCCTCTCAGATAAGCCCGACTCTAGCTGGTGGGTGGGGGACACACGAATCAGCCAAGATGCCTGACCAAAGTTCGCAGGCACGTCCCGGTCTTCACACTCCAAATTTTTGCACTACCTCTTGCAAGCTGTGTTGGTACTTATAACTTCAGGCTCCTTGTCTCTGGCCCCATTACTTCCATAACTGCTGCTTCATGCAAAAACTCATGTCATGCCTGCCAAGCGCCACAAACGCGGGAATGTGCCGAAGCTTTCCTCCCGAGCCCTCCCGCCCGCCGTCATCCGAGGCAGTGAGTACGGCAGCGTCATCCGCAGAGAACACAGCAGAACGAACCGGTAGTCCATGGCCTTTCAGCGTCCTCCCAACAAAGCTCTTTTTGGGGATCCCACGTGGCATGGCCCTAGCACGGCAGGACAGCTGGTGGCGACTCGGCTGACTGACCAAGGCCTAAACCAGTAGAGGCACCCGATCCCGGAACCTGAAGCACTTAGCTCGCATCCACTATACTGGACAACTCACCTATTGGTCATTCTGAGCCATTCCTGTGTTTTACAGATCGCCGGTGTCGTTCTTCCACCCAGCCCATGAAAGCCCGAAGACACTTCCCCGTCCTGAGACACACGCCAGAGGCGACCTCCCAGATCTTTGCTGTGCGGTCCCACGAGGCGGTCAGAATCAAGCGGCTATCCACCTTAGCAACCAGAGAAGAGCCGGAAGGGACGGTGAGGCGGTTTCGGGGTGTGGGAATCATAGGGCTTATGGCCCCAGCAGTGGGCCGGCTTTGGCACGACGCCCTCTTCCAAGGTTTGCAGGTTCCATGGCTGCCGGATCCTGTCTTCTAAAACTTCTCCACGCCCAGCTATCCAGGCCAGGCTGCTGAGAAGACGGCCGAGAAAACTCCCAGGCCATGTCCCTCTAGGATTTGTATGGTCTCACCTCTCACGAGTGTGCTGTCGGGTGTTCGCGTGGAGCCTTCTGTGGTTGCTATCGTCGTGTAAGTAGTAATTTCAGCTAACTTACTCAGCTCCTCTGGAAAGGACCGAACCATCTCTTACAGCTGCTTGGCACAAGCATTGATATTTGATGCGCTGAATCGATTCATGGCCTTGCTGCCTATATTTGCGGGTAAGTCTGCCTGAAACGTTCACCTAACATCATGCCGACACCACAAGCGTTTGATCCTTGACGTTGCCGCGCAGCCTCCGCGCCATATCCTCGCGGTGCCATCCACAGAGGCGGTTAGCACCTGTGCGCAATGCTTGCAAGAGCTACTGCACCCAAGGCCTGCCCACTCCGTCTGCTCACGGCTCAGGGCTTACGGGGAGATCCCCAGAGGGATGGGGCTCCACGTCTGAGGGCGAAGAGACAGACAAACAAGACTATGCCTTGAATATGCACTCGCATACTGTCCAGATGTTTACGCACCTACCTTTGCAAAGCGCACCGCCCCTTCACTCGAATCCGGCTCTGCATTCGAGAAATTGAAGGAAGGCACGGCATCACCGTCAGGAGCATAGGCAGCCGAGAGTACTGCATGACCTCAGGCTGTTGCGTGCCGTTGACTCTTGTCATTCCACCCTCGCGGTCGAACATCCACCCACTCACCTACCCATACATACATACATACATACATACATACATACATATATACCTACTTGCATGCATGCATGCACATCACAACACGCCATGCGCCAGACGCCGCACGCTGCACACAGCATGCTCTGAACGCCGCACGTCACACCGCACCATGTTCCACATCAGAGTACCTTTAATTGTATTTTGCATTGAGATCTGTCTTACATTACATTACATTACATTACATTACATTACAACACATGCATGCAGACGTGTATGCGTGCATGCATGCATGCATGCATGCATGCACATCCCTCCCTCCGTCCCTGCCTACCTGCCTACCTACCTACCTACCTACCTACCTACCTACCTGACTGCTTCTTGCATACCTATGGCCATTCGCTTAGCTTGGTACACTTTTGGATTTGTATGTGTCATCCTCGCACAGGGGCCATGTAATACATCCACACATCCATGCATGTACGTGTGCTTCGGTGTGTGTGTGTGTGTGTGCGTTTGCTTGTGTGTGTGTGTGTTTGCTTGGGTGTGTGTGTGTGTGTGTGCGCGCGTGCGCAGGTGCGTGCAGGCGTGTACTTACCGATTGGGTGTTGCATGGGCTGGCGGCACTTTCATTCACGGTTGCCTGGCACCAGTACCGCCGAGGCCTGAGACCAGGCCCAGGAGACTTCCTATCGTAGAGGCCCTTAACTCTGGCACACAGCCCGCAACCTTGCAAAGTCAGTTGACAATGCCCTCATCTTTAAGGTATGTTTCCAACCGATCGAGGCAGGGACTATGCCCGCGGAGTGTACGAAGGCAGAGGCGATCGTTGCCTCAGCTGAGCATCTGGTGCGACAGCCTTGGCCCATGCATGAATGCCCAAAATAGTGGCAGTCAAAGTTTTGACCATGCTGGTGGCCCCGGCCAACAAGTTGATGGCTGGCATAAGGGTATTGCACAAAAGCCGGCATCCCCAAACATGGAGGAGCCACAGCAACCTACATAGAAGTGCTCTTGCAAGCCGCGCTGCGCGTCTGACACCAGGACTTGAGGAAAAAGCCAACGCAGCCCAGGCAGGAGCCGAGGTCTGCTCTGCAGTCCTGGAGGCGCTGGTAGCAGCGTACTCGCCAACAAAATTCAACCCTTCTGGGAGGCAGGAGCATCTGCATGAAGTTGGCCGTAACCCGCACCAGAAAGCATCCGAGGTCTCGCACCCGAACGTTGAGACCTCCGTCACGCGAAATCCCCCACTTCTGTCATCCTGCACTCTGGCTTCAGCCCCAATCCACCATGCTGAAGCCCCCAACCATTATGCATGTTGAGCTGGTAACTCAGGCCCAGGATGCAAAGCAGCTAAAGCACCCGCCTCCGCATGGTTCTGCTCACGGCCGGTCGGTGCTACAAGCCTAGGAAGATGATCCGTTGAGCACAGGGTGCCGGTGAAGTTACATGGCCAGGGCCGTATTGCTGCACATGAAGAGGATCTTCAACATGCCCGAGGAGGACCGCCGATGATACTTGATAGTAGGATGCTGCACTGCCCCCCATGTGAGTTTCCAGCATATCTGCTCTCAGTGACCCTCAGCGTTAACAATGGAGCCCACGCACTCAACCGGAAGGGTCGGAAACCTGAGCTAAACAATCTTCGTGCGACATCCATTCCGACTGAAGTGATTCGGCTTGTCAATGCGTCCAAAAGCGTGCAGGGGTGTAAGACTACTCGTGCCCGGTGGCCAAATCTTCGCGGTCTTGTCCCAGGACCCAGTGAGCACCTGCAGAATTCTAATTAATGCGATGCGGGGCGGACGAGTTAACCTGGGTGCATGTGATAAGGTCTTCCGACGGCACTCTCCGTCAGCTGCCATGTGTACGCAGGCATGCCAAAGTTCAGTGCTCCAGCCTGAGTGCCGTCTTTGGAGAACTCCGCAGAGGTTACAGTGCCTGCTGCAAGTCTCTGGGCTAACAACACCTTTTGGAGGAGAGCTGCGTACTTAGCTCGAACAACATGGTTGGCTGCCTGCCTTCGATGTCCGGATCCCTCCATCCGGGCCCTCCCTCCGCTTCCATGCACAGTGCGAAACCATTCAGATCCCTTCGCGGTTTCCCTATGATTGCATAGATGATATTATCCTTATCTCTGGCACCCTATTGAACCTCTAGACAGCGAACCCCTTATGCCCTATAGGCTCTGATTTATTCATTGGAGAATTCCCGTGGCTGAGAATCCTGATAAATGTCAGGCCTTGGTGGCCCCGCAATGTCTGAAAGCAGCCGCCACATGGCACCCGCCAGATCTTCGCCTCATACAACAGAGGGTTTCCTGTTCCGGATTTCGGTAGCCAGGATTGCCAAAGTAAGGATTTAGCGGCTCGAGGGGGAGGTGTGAGACTGGAGCAACTAATGGCGAAAGACCGCCATCTCATCACCTAGCAATCTAGTAATCTCACTATTCTCGAACCTGATGAGCAACTGCAGAGCTTGCACTGGGGCTCCCATTTTCTGTCCAGGCAACACATCTAAACCTGGACTCAGGCTGCCACTGGACATGTTTCCATGGCCCGCAGACGCCTAAACGAGCTAGACATTTCTCCTTTGTAGCTACGATCAAGCCCAGGCGCCGTCCCGTCGATGGCTGCAGTGAGCACCTGAGCCGGAAGCTTCCACGGTTGCAAGACCTGAAAAACAAGCTTCAAGCAACATCAGAATGAACAACAAAATGAACAGAAGCATTCACAAATGAGCAAAACATACCGCGACGACACTAGTTTGCACTGTCCACTTGCCACATCATATGCATGTAGTTGTATATGCATACTTGGCACACTTGCTCATTCGACTAAAGTACACGCGCACATGCACGCACAATCACACAGGCAATCGCACGAGCGTCACCGCGCAGGCACGGCATGCACACGGACGCCTCGTGCAGTAATTTTCCGGCTGTTAACTTTGACGGCCCTTCCTGTGGCATGCCCAACTTCTGTTTGCCAACATCCATTACCCTTCCAAGCTGCCAGAGAAGAGTCAGCATTGAAGACCGCCAGAGACAAGGCGTAGGTTTGCACCGGCCTGGATGGCTTTCCAATGCTCTGCTCTGATGCTTGGGCGTTCCACCCGCATCCAAGCTTTGGGCAACCACAGAGGTTGTAACCACTCTGCAAAAGTTCATGAAATTCAGATTCGGGCTGAATTTCTAGGATGCGCCGACAAAAGCTAATTGAAACCGTGCAAAAGCCAGAAGGATGCCCAACCAACTAACCTGCAAGGGGGAAGCGATAAGAAAGGCCTTCTTAATGCCACAAGACAGGACACGCTGAACTGAATCGGCAAGCACAGCAGGGGGGTAAGGTACAGACGCGACTGAGCCAAGGCTAGTGCGCAGGCTGGCCGTTGGGCAGGATTCTCCTCAAAACCCTTCCAAGCTTGGAAAACCTGAGTTGGAGCTGCGGCGCAGTGCCCGCACACACTGTCCTGTCAGCACCTGGGACAGCAACAAGGCGGAGATTTTGGTGGCATCGTGCAATGCAGCGTCAAGAGGGTATCTTTCAATTTCGCAATGACAAAATGGGACAACTCAACTACTTGCGGCCTTGTTGCATTCCAGATCTTGGCATTGCCGGCAGATGTTGCTGTTAGCACGAAGTAGCCATCAGGAGAAAAAACGGCCGAGCGCACGACGTCCTTGAGTTCTGGTTTCGACTGGAAATGAATGAATGCCATCCGCATCCTATCTGGCCGCTATTGTTTGCAGCCACTCCAAAACTCCACGCAGCCGAAGCGGATGCACACTTGTCAGTTCGTCAGCCGAGGCTCTCCGTGACCTTCGAGTGTGTGAACCTCATGGGGCGCCAGCTTGTGCTGACTGCTGCTACAATGGCTTGAATCAGATTAATAAACCACATTCATACCCATGCCGGGTTACATGTCTTGAACATATGGCGAAAAGCCATGTTGCGCATGCTGAAGCATCTGGCAGCCATGTTTCTTTTGCACTGATGTCATCTCTAACCTCCTGATGCAATGAATTGTGTGATGTGCATACGACCCAGCATGTCTGATGCTGCATCCTTGTTGCACAATTGCCTCGGTGAGTGTGCCTGACATGCAGCGAATCTAGAGCCAACCAAACACAAGCTCGAAAAAGCACCGGCGACACGTCCTCAAGCAGCACTCAGTTGCACGACGAGATTATCAGCGGAAAGCCTGCACAGATCCGTGCTGCAAAGCTTCCAGATGCGAGCTGTGCCATCATCCGATGCGGTAGCAACAAAGGATGCGCGGTGCACCACCAGGCTGAGGAACAGCTCGTCCTGCTGCGGCCGATAATTGAGACAGCATTGAAGCTGCAGCTCGCCTTTCTCCACACTCTCGTCTGCAAGCAGCAGCTCTCTATTGATACGGGTTGCAAATCCCGGCTGCGCAAAACCAAGGCCTTCCTTCCTCACCCTGACAAGAAGCCTCGTCCCCGAGCTGGGACAGTCTCATGGTTGGCCAAAGCAGGTCATGACCTCCACAATGGAAGCTGGTGCGCTTGATTTTGCACTCAACATGCTTGTGGCGATGCCAAGCACGTGTTTCCAAGGGCAGTAGTGACGAGTCATCGATCGGCTGACTTTTTAGTGGTTTAGGACGCCCGTTTTGCAAGGGTTCGTTAGCAGGGAAAGCTCCAACGGGGTCCACAGCAAAATGTGGGGCCAACAGGTCCTGAAAAGAAGGACCTTACTTTCTGGAGCCCACACAAGCCCAGAAGCGTGTTGTCAGCGCCTGAAGAGCCTAGTTCAAACACTTCTGTTGACTTCTTCCCGCCCACCTCCAACCCACCCGATGTCTGAAACATTCTTTCTCAGGGGGTGTCTGAAATATGCATCTGCAGCACTGCCGTTGCTTTGAACACTTTGACAGTGTGCTACCGAGACAAAATGTGAATTTACCCATGGCGGAAAACATGTTTGGCGACCTTCTGGCAACTCCCGTCAAGCCTGCATAAATCCATTTTCTTCCTAGGGGCATTTAGCAATCTCGGTTCAACCAGCCAGCAACTAGCCATTGCTTGAACGTGGACTTCACGGGCATTCATGGAACCAGCATTTTTCTGTTCTAGCAGCGGCTGGAGCGACAGGCGGTCCTGTAGCCCGCTCAAAGAGCCGCCCCATCACTGATTTTCGGAGGACGGGCCCGGACTGGACAAGCAACGGGTGTCCCGGAGCGAGGCCCATGTGGCCAGTGTGCTTGCTGTTGGGTCAGGCGCTCCGAGTGTGTTTGTATGTGCAAAACAGCCGGTCGAGTTCTTGCACAGGGCAAAAAAACATGCTTGAACCAACGGCCCTGTAAGTCTGAGGCTCACCGCAGGCATACTATTCCGTGGGAAAGAAATTGAGCTGGTGCCGTGAACGATCCGAATCACTATGGCAAAGGCTGGCACTGTATCGACATGGATCAGGACAGCCTCTTTCGGAGTTCCTATACATGGGTCCTGGTGGGTATGGTGGGTATCCCCAGATTCGTGCAAGGAGAATTAGAAGTTCTGTACCACCGCGTGCTCTTCTTCCACACAGACAAAGGAGAAGCAGCCGCTCCCCCCGCACGCAAGCGCGCACTGTCAGTCTTGGTACTGAAAACCAAGTGCTCTCTCTATCTCTCTCTGTCTGTCTCTATGTTTCCACGAGGTCGAGGCACGATGCACATTCAGAGCGGGTCTGTCTATTCATTTTGGTTCCAGGCCTTGTGCCTGGCACCGCGCTAAGCATGACACATGGTCCGGTTTTCGAGCAGTAGGCGACCCTAAAAATTTTTTTTTGAACCCAGACTCTGCCAATCAGCTGGGAAGCAGCACTTCCAGACGACCCTAAACCCTAAACTCTAAACCATTCCCATGATTTGGGGCCAACCTCGCAGGAGCTGCTGGCGCGTGCCTGGGATGCCCGTGGCCTGGAAGTGTCTACCGGGTGTTATGGATCAGGGTCCTCTTACACCATGCTACAGGTACGTTAGGGCGGTTTCCAGAACTCTACATCAACACGTTCGGGAGCTGAAAGTAGGTGCTCCTGGGGTTAATCATCAGGTAGGCAAATGGCTGGGACCCTACAGCCGCAATGTTAAAGTCTACTGACCCCTTCTCATTGTAGGCGGAAGAAGCCCAGCTAGATGGATCGGATCCCTAGTGCTTGCTGGAATTGCTCTGCTAAACCGCAAAGCACGTGTCGTGATTGACGCCTTCGTCACGGCCCGGTGGACGGCTTCGACCAACGCCTCTCGTTCCTCGGCTCGCAGATAGACTATCCGTGGGAAGGCACATCGCGTGAAGACATTAAAGGAAAGCCAGGAAAGAAGAGTCCTTCCCACAGAAATCAGAAATCCGCCACAGCTATATCAAACTAGAAACTCAGCGTGTCACGGACAATTGCACAGAGAGCGAGGCCGCTTCACAAATGCATTCTCCTCTCGACAGGCTCGGTCTTCACAGGGACTTCGATTTTCTCGGTGCTGTCTTCCTGTCCCCTCCGGCTTCTTCTTCTTCCCTCAGGATCTGGGAAATTCTTAGGAACCTAGGGCATCCCCGGGCCCACGCAATTTTTCGAGCCATTGGAGGGACGTGAGCGCCGAAGGCTCAATCAAGAGTCAAGGTGCGTTTAGGCATGTGTGTTGTGCGCTTGTGAGGCTTTCCCCTGTAGGGCCGTCATGAGATGCAGGTGCTTCGACGTCAACTCGCTCTCTGTCTAACTCTTTCTGACGAGTTAGCAGGCAACACTGCTAGTATGACGCTGACACGGGAAAACCACGAAAAAGCTCGGCAAAGCCCAGACACCAACTCCACCTCTGCCACTTCCGCGCCACTGACATAGGAGACCAGCACCCGCATAGATGGGCCGCACATGTACAGAAACTGTGCTCAAAAACCAGGTCGAGCACGTCAGAATGCGTGGACATCGATTGGGCTCACATTGCAGTGTGATTCAGTACGGTGCTATCCGCAGCTCTGGAAAGGTTCATAACTTGGGAAGCGGAAGCCAAACGACTAATGTGGAGCTGGGACCGATTAGGGTCATGCCAGAGCCGACATGGCATTGTCACGTGGACGGCTTGCCTGCATCTCAGATTCAAGCCGCTTCGACGGCACACACGACAGCCTCATGCCCCAGCCGTCCTACGCCGTAGCGCTCCTTTGGTGTGCAACAACCCAATCCCATGGACCTTGACTCAGGCCAGAACTGCAAGATTAGCCGTTAGAGCGCGGTGTCGCCATGTCTAGTATGTCTAGTATCCTGCATCAATTGACTTGGTCGGACCTCCTAGCCAGGGTCTTACATGTTCGGCCCAAGTCCATGTCCCTCTTGAGCATGAGCACTAGAGCTGTCGTTGTGTTTCGATCTTGATACGCAAAACCCAGGTCCAGGTATCAACTCCAAATGAAGCTTCTCGTGGGCCCAAGCAGTCGGGTCGTGTAGCTCATCGGTGGCGAAACCTGGACGCTTCAGAATTGTCCGGCCTGAGGGAAGTTCGGGGCCTTGCATCAGGCTCGAAGTTTCGACAGTGATAGGCTTGCTGATGGCGAGAATCCCAAGTATGAGACTTCCGAGACCCACATCCGCCGAAGCCCTGAAGAAGAGCTCTTCAGCTTCCGGCCCGCTGCCGAGGGAAATCTGCCGTGACAGGGCGCCTTGGTGTGGGGCATCAGGTCGCCTCTAATTGGGGAGTAAGGGCACTAACACGCCTCGGTGGTCTGTAGTTGTGTTCGTTGAATGGCCTTTCATAGACCTCTTGAGTAATCGACTCTGGGAACATGGCCCAGGTCCCGCTCTTCACATCGTAGCATGTTTTCCTGAATCCTGGCCGTGGCATCTCAGCAAAATCACCCAGACCTGAATCTGACGACTTTTGTTCAACCTTGCCACAGGACCCCAACCCCAAACCACAGAGATAGGGCTTCTCTTCTGTTGCCTCCTGTTCTGATGGCCTGGCAGGCCCTGTTGTGCAGGCATCCAAGGACTAGTACGCGTGTGCAGGTCACGCTGCCTCCGTGCCACTGCTCAGATGGCTTCTGAGCCCCCGGCATCTGAAAGGTTGCCGTTCCAGACCTTTAAAAAGATTTTCGGGCGTTTGGATGTGAACTCAAACAACAGAAAAAAGTAGGAACAATACACGAAGAAATTCAGGGAGAGTTTTTCAAGCCACCACCGACTCACATAACGAGAAAGTGACACACAAGACAAACCCGAGACGCCATGGAGCCTGGAGAAGGTTCTGCGGATGTCCCGAGACGCAGGGAGCGAACTGGCTTTTGGTTTGGGGTGCGGCAGCAGCTTTAGTGCCTCCTTCTCTGTAAGTCGCCTTTGCATATGGCTGCGCAGTCCAAAAATACTAGAATGAAACACTATTTCACAAGAACTGTTGTGTTCCGCTGTTTTGAGGGTTTCCGGAGAGCCAGTCAAGTAAAGTTGCGCAGGCTCTTGCAACACTTCCCTGCTACTTGACCTCCTCTCCCCCCTCTGAGAATGCTTTTCTTTGACCTGTCCGGTGTTTTGTAGGACTTGTAGAACAGCAGAACACCAGACAGTCCAGCAAGAATCGGCTCGAAACCTGCAGCTCACCACCCTGACACCTTGCACCTGTTCGCTGGAAAAGTTCGGGCGACAAAGGAAGGCCACTGCCCAAACCCGTAACCATGGTCCTGAAGCTGCGCTGGATCCGAGATTCGGACGGCGACGGCACCTGCACAGTCTGGGCAGTTTCGTGGTGCATGCGCTCCGGAGATTCAACCTTGGGCTTCCACGCTTTGCTTTGCGTCTCCTGGGCGGCAGACAGATACCATCCGGCCAGCGCTTCGAAGCGTGCGAAACCTGAGCGGCCCATCACTGACATAGGCTTCATCAGATCCATCGTCGGTCATCTGCCTCTGTGCAGACTCGCCCAAACTGCAAACAAGCCCCCGTAACTTCTCACAAAATCCGAGCAAACATGAAGGACAGAAGCCAAATTGCTTTCCTGCAATCTGCGATGTCAATAGCGTAAGTAGATGGTCCGCTTGTTCGGTTTGCTCCGCTCGGCGCCCGCGCGCTGGCGAAGCCAGGACGCTTGGAGACTCCTTCCGAGCGAGGAGTGCGCTGGGCTTCTTCAAGTCCCTTTCAGGTGTCCACAAGGCGTCTCCGTCACAATGGCTGAGATTGTTTCTGATCACCCAGTCCCAGGAGACGAACTCATAAAACGCCGCCAAGTCCCCAACGGCTTGCTGTCAGCTCGCTGGTCACAATAGCATGAGCTGCCATTACGATTCGGCATGGTATGTTTGTTCCGCGACTACGGGCCCTGCTGCCAGTTCTCCGTATTTCATTAAAAGCTGTATACTCACAATTGCTGTGCCGGGTAATCTTGTTGGTATTCATGGGGGTTTTGCTGCTACCATGACAACTCCAGGACTATGTCCCGACTAGTGCTAGAACCTTGGCGTTTTTTTAGTTTCGTCTTCGTCGCCTTCTTCTCGTCTCACAACTAACAAGCCATGCAAGGGAACCCTAAAGCCCAAATTGTTCCGAGGGATCCAAGCAGGGGCTCCGGGAACTCGAAGTCGGCCAGCGTGGTTTCAAAAGCGAGGGGCTCCGGCCTGAAGAATTCGGCTTTGAGGCTTTTGCGCACAAATCCATGATGAGTGTGCTTAGTTGGCAGTGTCGGTGTTGCGACCAGGGTCTTGCGAAAGTGAGGATTTGAGAGCGAGGCACCAAGTTCGTAGCAGTAATTATCTGCTACGTGGGAAGTTGATGTGCGTCACGCAAGGAGGAAGTTGCAATGATTATAGACACTCTGTCTGCCGGAGTGTAGACAGCGAGCCTCCCGTATGGGGTAATCTTCGCAAAAATCTTCGTCAAACCGTTCTTCACAAAAGATGATGTGCAATCAATGCCTGTACCCTGCATGGCTGAGAGCCCACAGCCTGGCCAGCGGGCCACCGGCGCTTGCGCTCCGCTCCAGGGTCTGTGCTCGATCCCTGCAAGGATGCAGCTGGGGCTGACAGTTACGGACCAGGATCGGCAACTATCCAAAACCAAGACAACTGCACCGGTACAGGTGCCGAGGGGGGGCGGGCCGCATCCTGCCCCTGTGGGCAAGGGTGCGAGCTCTGCTTAACTTGTTGCCTTTCCGGAGTTGACATGATCTTCTTCAACAGCTTGGGACCCACGCAGCTGGACACGAATGTGCGAGACTCTGAGTTCAAGGGAGGCAGGGAGAAGCTTATCAGAGCACCAACGCCGACCACAGCCCTGGTTCGATCGCAAGGCGGGCCTCAGAGCCTGAATCTCCGCCTTACGCTCACCACGCACTTGCTGCTGAAAGATCTGGCAAGGCAGGCGCCAACTGGGAACCATTTCGTGAAGCCATCTCAAATATGGGCAAGTAGCCATTTACACTGATGCTATTGATGTGCAGCTTTGCGTATGTTGGTCGTGTGGCTGGGCAGTAATGGGCCCTGGATCAGCCAAGAGGTACCGCGCCAGCCAGCCTCCACTTCCTTGTGGGTCGTCGGCCTGAGCAAGATCTGGTGATTCTGATCATCGAAACGAACAATGGGACTGGTCCCACGAAGCAAGACACAGCAAGTCGATCTGCTATGTCCGAAATCCACACAACATCCACCCGGCAAGCCCCTTCACAAGCCGAAAACCAACATCCCAAACAAGTACTGCTAAGCACTGTTCCGAGTGTGCCGTTTCAATTAGCATGGCGAAAGCATTACGACGGCGACGGTGGCGATTCCGCTGGAAATAAAAACTTGCAATTGTTGCTGCCACTTCTGTTGCTACCGCCAGCACCATGCCGATGCTGCTGCTGCTGCTGCTGCCGCCGGTGCCGGTGCTCCTCATGCTCGTGGCGGAGGCGGTGCCGGTGCCTGCTCCTAGTCCTACTCTTCATCCTGCTCCTGCCACCAACGACGACTGCTACGGCTACTACGGCTGCTGCCGCTACTGCTGCTGCCTCAGCTGCTACTCCTACTACGACGACGACGACTACTACTACCACTACTACGGCTACTACGGCTACCGCAACCACTGCCACCACCACTACCATCACTACCACGACCACCACCAGCGCTGCCGCCGCCGCCACTACCACCACCACCACCGCCACCACCAGCACTACCGCGACCACCAACACTACCACTGCCACGACCGAGGCTACTGCTATTACGACGACTAATTCCTACGACGACGACCACCACGACTACGACCGACGACGACCACACCTCCACCTCCACCTGCTCCTACTCCTTCTCCCTCTCCTACACTATGCCCATTGCCCATACCCACATCTACTCCTGCTCCTGCCCCTCCTCCTTGCAAGTGCACCTGTACCTTACACCTACTCAGCACTGCTGCAGATGAGGCGACTGCTAGAGCTCCTGCTGCCGCCGCTGCTGCTACGCAGTTCATCAGTCGTGATACGCACTCTCTGTCTCCCACTTAAACAGCTACGATTTCTGGCGGCTTGACTGTCACCCATGGCTTATTTTGGGCCCTTGCCCAAAACCTCGAGGCGGAGCCAGGGTGAACACGCGGACCTCATCAGTCAAGTCCATGATAAAAAACGACACTGGTACAAGATGGCAGTCTCAACCAAATGTCAATGACGATCTCAAGAATCGGTGAAGCCGTGAACCACAAAGAATATCAATGTTGCAACCAATCACCGCCATGGGATATGATGTGCATTGCAGTTCTCATGGTTCAGATGAGAATTTCTCTTCGGCCAGGGGCTCGAGGACGGAGACAGTGTGAGCTAGCAGCCAGTTGCCACACGTCGCCCCGGCAGAGGCACATGTGCCCTGCAATCTGGCAGCGCCCCTAGTGAAAGCACAAAAAAAGGCTCGGGCTTCCAGTTGGATCTCGGGCCAGCCCCCGTAATCGAGCCAAGGGCTAAAAAATGGGTCGAGGGTCTCGCAGTTTCTGAGGAAGGTGACGGCTTCAGGCTGGCCTGAACGTGGGTCCGGGTGAGGCAGGGAATTCGGCAATAGTACGGAAGTAGGTTCATGAGCAACTTTTCCGGCTTCAACACAATTTCGCGGAGCAATCCCAAGCCTCCTCGTGGCTCAGCCCTTCGGCTAGTTTCAGTTTGAGGGTTTGGGCGGTCGATCTTGGGACTTAGAATGAGTCCCTACAAACAAGTTAAGCATGCCTACATCTCAGGGACGGCAGTAAGCATACTTCCGTCGTTCGGAATATATTCGGCAAGCAAGCAATGTATCAACAATTCAATCCTGCAGCTTCCACCATCACTGAACCATCACCACTACCGCAGCATGATTGCGATTTGCTAAGTAGAAGACTCGGACGGTCGGACGGCTGGAATCTGATGCTTTTAGCTCCGGTCTCAAGTGCAACTGGTCGGACGAGGCCCGGAAACGCACATGGTCCGTCCCCTACCATGGTTCCCGGGACATACCAAGACAGTGACATCATCTTGTGAAAGACTGCCACAGCTTGTCGCTGGCAAACAGCCGCTGTAATTTCTGAGAACACGTCCATTCAAGTTTAAACTGTCGAGAGCTTTGGCTTCAGCGAACACCTGTCACTGTCGGAAGTTCGAAACTTACTAGCTACTAGTGGACCTACAATGGTCTATAATAGTTGCCAATTCTGAAGCCGCTACTGAGCCCTTATTGCAGATCTTGTGGGCCAGCTTGGAACAGGGGCTCAACTATCCCACACCCAATCGACGGGTACCCAGCAGGACTCACGCTTTTCAAACAGCTTGAAGCATGGCATGTCAAATGCATGGCACGCTCACAGAAGGCCGTGTTTCAACGCAGCTACCCGTGCAGACGCGGAATTGTCAATAGACCGTCTACTGAGTCTACTGAAATCCACTAAGGTGAGTTCGAAAGACACACCAAGATTATTGCCAACCGCCATGGGTGCCTCCGCATCCGCGTCTGCACATGGCCCGGCGGGCGGAGTCTATGTACGAAGAGTGTGCACACACTTTGGCGTGCTGCCCTGGCGATGCAAGGCATCGGCATGCACTAACACCGTGACCAACCCAGTGTTTTGCAGGTTCCAAGGAAAGACTAGTTCAGAACATCAAAAGTTTGCTTGGATCGGTCACGTTGGTGTTGGACCGCCTTTTGCAGCCGCATGGTCCAGGACAAGGGTGGGGCTTCTCGGGCGTCGGTGGACGAACGCAAAACGAAATCTGCAAATCAAGAGGTCAGTCGCGGAGTCTTTTGAACCATCCCGGAGAGGAATAACACTGCAAGAGAGGAGTCATCATCACAGCAGCAACGACAATGGCAAGTAGTAGTAGCTGCAACAAGAGAGGCTATCCGTTCTAGGTGCTCTCAGGTCTTCAGAAGACCCATGGAAGCCAGCTTCACGAAGAGTCGGGACTTGAGGGTATCGTCCAGGGAGCTGAAGCGTTCGGACTTTACGATGGCCTGGGTGCTCAAAGCGAGGGAGAAGGTGTAGGGCGCTGCCTTAACCCCGTTCTGTTCACGAGAAGGGGGAAAGCATTAACTCTGCAGCAGATGGCTGGGGCTGCTGCAGTCGCATTGCCAGCAGCGAAGTTCATGACGATATCTTGAATGTATTGCGCCTGCACTCACACTGGGAGAGAGCAGTGTAATCGTATCAACACGGAAAAGAAAATTCATTTCGGGTAAGACAGCTGCAGGTTCTGACAAAGCTGAAAAAGTCTTGCTCTGGCCTGCGGGTCATTGAGGTCACACGCGTCGACCACTTGCATGATGTCACAGGCATTGTCCACACCTCACACACATCAGCGTACATCTTGCACGCCTCAAACATCCTCCACCACAAGCAAACACGCACCCCTTGGCATCCAGCAACAAAGCAAGAAAAACACAATTATGGGCTACGAGAATCCATCAAGCGCCAGGGCTCACTCACATCAAACGCTCGCTGAGAAGGATGGGGCCCTCGCAAAGTCGCAGCTTTGTGACCTCCACGGCCAGAGCGCTGCGGTGGAGGAAAAGGCACGACCTTCAGCTGCTGAGCTTTTTTTGACGACGGGTTCCTGCAACCCGAGGGCTGCTGTCTATGGGCTGTAGATTCGAAAACTCCCGGAGACGACAACAAGATCGGTGATTTGTGCAAGGTGCCGCTAGCAGACAGAGTTAGCTTTGTTGCGATCTGCCCTTTTGATACCTCCAACCACATCGAATAAGCAACCAATGATGGTGGCGCCCATCCTAGGGTTTCTGCACGGGGGTTACCATTCCGGTAAACTTTATTTACTCAACGCTCAGAATACTCAAGATCCTCTGAATCATGCAGGGGTATTCAGGCCCCCAGTGTGGAACAACTCCCGACACAACACCTGGCAGCCTAGGCGGCCCGGCGAGACGCATTGTGCCAGGCTCCCGGCCGTGGCCGCCCGCCTGATTCAGCGGGCAGGATTTAAGGTTTTGAGGCTTACGCTTCTGAAGAGCTTCCTAGCGTAGCCGACTCTGCCGCACGCTCTGGGATGCATGGGCCGCAGCCCATGTTCTTCGAATCGAAAACTCAGAATCAGACAATGACAATTGAGGCAAGTCGTCCAGCTCAATTGGGCGCCATAACGACTATGAATCATAGGAGTTCTGTGTAAGGGACAACGGCAGTCATATCATGCAGCCGGCAGCGCGAACGGGTGTTTTCTTGTTGTCCACCTGCAGCGAGTTGGACAGCTATGTCTGCTGCACCAACCTGCTCTCTCTTGAGAGGTGTTGTGAAACTTTGGCTGCCGCAGGTCGCGCGATACATTCATACTCCTTCAACATGTTTGCCGGTTCTCTTTGTCGTTTCCCTTCAATCAGTCTGGACCTCATAGCCTAACCGTTGCACCGCCGACACCACCGCATCATCACCACCAGCATTGACGGAACCATGCTGATGCTCCCAGCCTTACCCTCATCATCTCTATCAGCATGACCAGCACCACCCACATCACCCCAATCATCGCCATCCTCACGATTCACGACTATTGTACCATCGCCACCTTCACACACATTCATGTTCATCATCACCACTAGAATCACTAGAATCCACACCGGCTTAAGACGGCTTGCGCATCGTCCTCATCACCATCAGCAGAACCAGCAGCAGCACCGACAGCCGCAGCTCCATCATGGACCGACCATGCATTCGAACCTTCAGAAGTGCCATCGTCACCACTGACATCACAACGGCTGTGTCGTAGTCCTGCTACAAGACTTTTCATCAGCCCTGGACCGAGACCATCTGATGCGTACGTCTCAGAACCTAGTGGCAAGGCTGAGCTATGGGCACGACGAAAGTTCATGTCTATGCCTATGCCGGGCGTCAAAGAGCCTTTCGGTTGCTCACACTCGGACATGAGCCTTTGAGGCGTAGGCTTTACTGCCGGGTATACGGTTGCTGCTGGGCGCGTTCATGTCGATTTGAAAGCTTGTGTAACGGGCATCAACTCCATGGCGACCTACGGGATGAAGCTCCCGATCCCAATTTCGGGATCGAAGCTCGCTGAGCTAGAAAAGGCAGTCGGGATCGAGTCCGCAGTGCACTTGCAGGCTGCGGGCATCAACTTGGATCTTGGCGACCAAGAAGACTAGCAAAAATGTATTATGAACCACCGACAAGCTTCAGAGTTCCCACTCGGCACGGAGATACAACGTCCGAGGACATTTCGTCGCTTTCGCCAAGTTCTCATCTTTGCTTTTGAAACGGCTCAAGTATTTGAGCTTGAGGCCGTGCCTACCAGCTGGTGGCATATGTCACGGCGAGTGTTGAACAAAAACTTCGGGGAAGGCTTGTCACTTTGTCGGCAATCGTTCTCCTCTGGGCAGGAGCAAGGCTAGATTCTAGAACTCCACACACTTCGGTCGGTCGCAGCCTTGCAAGAACATTTGGGGAAGGGCATCTTGCAGGAAATCTCGTTGCAAAGGCTCGTGAAGCAATTCGGCTCAAGACTGCAGGGCAACCGGGCATATCTTCTTGATACTGGAGGGTCCAAAACATGTATACCTGCAAGTCACAGCAGTTAATCTTACAATCTGCTCCTCCGACGTTGCACCATCAAGCTCGCATCAGCGTGGTATCCGAAGCCTGATGCTCATCGAGATGGCTTTGTGCAGCAACTGCAATGTATGTAGAGGTGTACTTGCTGCTCGCCACTATCCTTGGGGTATCTTTGTAAAACATCAGCCACCAAGGAAAACTACCATCACGTCCTCCTTTTCAAGCGCCAAACCAACTGCATTCCACCCTTCGCACACTGACCTGTCGGTACTGTGCCCCGATTATCATGCCTCAAATCCCGCCCTCTTTCCCTGCAGGCCTTGTGCCCGGAATTCTCACATGGCCACCTCGGCTTCATGCATGGCTTCAGACCCGTCATCGAAGGTCAGACCTCGGGTATCCCGTCCGCTGCGCCTCCTTGCGCCAAGATGCGGTACTACTCTCTTCGTCTCCGATGAGAGCCTCAACCTCGGACCGGATGTAATCATCCTCGTCTTGACAGGCTACACGTGCAAGCGTCGCCCTTCATGAGTATCAGTGTCACGGAATCTTGGTGCCAAGAGCACCCCGCTTCACTCGGCCCTGAGACAAACCTGAAACTCCCTACTTAAAGAGCAGAAAGTCCTCGACGCTGTGCTTCCGGTGGATCTTGTGGATCATGGGCTTTATCGTTGCCAAGTCGTGCAGCCCGTGCCTTGAAGATGCTACTTGGCGCAGGACCCTTTGCAAGACTTTATGAAAGGAAAGCCATGAACAAGGACAGGGCATGCTCGACAGGTGACCCTTCTGTCCATGTTCAACGAGAAGCTGTACTCAGCCTCCATGCTCTGAGAATCTCTGAGACAGAAAGGGGAAGTGGGATCAGATCGTAGAAATGGCTTGGGTCGCAGGCTCGACTGGAAAAAGGCAAGAGGGTTGACAGGCTTTTGCAGAGGGGGCATTACATCAGCTCCACTGCGCTACCCAGGAGACAAGTGACTACGGTGCTGGACATGCGCCACAGTCGATTTACTGCAGATAGGTCCACATGCCCACTGAGATTCTCATGCTCTCTTGTTCCAGTCGGGGGATGCCCTTGCATTTGTGTTGCCTAGTATCCAGAATCGAGAATTGTAGAAACGACACAGAACCTCGTCCAACGGTGATTGGGGAGGCAAGCTGCTCGAGATTCGAGCTCACCTGCGCGATCCGTTTCATGTCCTCGGCTATATAGGCAGCGGCAGCCAGCAGCAACAAAAACAATGTGAACAACATTAACATACACAACATCGACGTCAACACATAATACTGATCGTCAGCATCATTATCGCCCGGGCCTGGTTAAGGGCTTGGCCGAGTTATCACCATCACCATCACCATCAGGACACCCGCATATTCAATGAACCCAAATCGGTGGGCTGAAAAGCTGTTTCAGTGAAGTGAGCCCCCTGTTTCAGGGAACCCTGAGCCTGTCCGGTTCCCATGTACCGGCCCGGCATACCCTGCCCTACACTGCTCTCCCCTACCCCACCATACCTAACCCACCCGAACCTACCCTGCTCTTGGTAACCCAACCTATCCACCCGTACCCTGCCCCACCTTCCCCATCATTGTATGGCCACCCTCGACCCACCCGAACCTACCCTGGTACCCTGCCCCATCATTGTATGGCCACCCCCTCTACCCACCCCAACCCACCCTACCTGATCCCACCCTAACCTACCCGAGTCTACCCTACTGTTCCCAACCCAATAAGTCCTATCCTTTACCCCTGTCCTACCTTCCCCTAACTGAATAAGGTTGATAAACTTTCCTATTTCACACTTTCACCAAATCTCACCTTCCTCCTGCCGCCGGTTCACCTTCCTCCTTTTTTCCACCTTCCTCCATGCAAAAAAGCAAGGTAGAGGAAGGTGAAGTGGCTTGAAGGTACCGCTGTCATTGTCTGGCATGGAGGAGGATCAACTTTCACACCGTGCATATTCAAAGGCACTTGGTCCTCTTCAGCCTTTTTCTGTAGAAACGTCCTTTCCCCCCACACACACACACACAGAGACACACAGACACACATGCTTCTGGGGCAGACAAAACCTTTCCAACAACACTGCTGCAAAGGGAGAAGACCTTTTCAACATCAGTGCTGCAAAGGGAGACTGCCCCACCCGAACCTACTGCCCGACCCACACCTCACCTACCCCCGACGATGCTCCCATCTGATCCACCCTCTCAAAGCAAACATCCTACCCTGCCCTACCCTACCTGTTCTCGACTGACCCACTACACCCTACCCTACCCTACCTAACCCCAACTGCCACCATCTCTTACCACCAATCGGGCCCACCTACCCTACCCCACTCCTTGCCCTACTCAACCCCTACCCGAGCCGAGCCTACAACACCCCCATCTTATCCAACCCCTTGCCCAACCTACCCCAACCAAACCGGCCCTACCCATCTAACCTTCCCCTCTCTTCCTTCCCTTTCCTGGGCTAACCTACCCTACCCAACCCACCGGCCCCACCCCCGTCATCCTAACTCAACCTGCCCTAGCCTACCCTCCCCACCCGCCATCTTATCCTACCTCCAACCCAACCTCACCTAGCCTAACCTGACTTACTCTACCCGACCCTACCCTACCCCCTCCTACCCTACCCACCCTACCCTACCCTACCCCACCCCAACCTTAACCCAACCTAAACTAACCTAGTCTGACACAGCCTGACCAAGTCTGGCAGACCCTTCGCCAGTTCACTGAAACAGCGGTTCAGTTCACCGAAAGATCATCATCATCATCATCATCATCATCGCCGTCGCCATCGCCATCGCCATCGTCAGTGCCATCACGTGCCATCAGAACCATCGCGGCCACGACTGCTCTATCAGCAGCGGCATGAACACAAAGCTGGATGTCACCGCCAGCACTACCAGCATGATGACACATGACTAATTAGTACAGAAACACAACAACAACAACAACAACAACACCAGCAGCAGCAGCAGCAACAACAACAACAACAACAACAACTTCAACTTCTTCTCCACCCCAACCCAGCAAACCCCTCTTCACAAGCCTGGTAGTTTCGAGGCCCTTCGAGTCAGATTTATGTGCACTGCGGATACGCTCGCTGACGAAATCGCCATGGCGATCCATCCTAGACCTCACCTGACCTCTAAGACCCTCATCTCTGGAGCCTCGGGCATATGAAGCAAAACCTCCCGATGAAGCGCATTAACCATGACCCCCCTGCTCTGCATGCGGCCATGCAGCCATCGCCCGAGCAGCCCCCCGAAGCCGCGACACACCATTCACCAGCTCCTGCGTGAAGGCTTGATAAGGCTTCTGGCTTTCCGGGCGGCTTCTGGCCTCACTGCTGCTTACTTCTAAGGCGATCTTTAGTTCTAGACGGTCAGGGGTTCTGGCTTGT